GGCGTAGATTTCTGCCTCGGCACTAGACGAAGCCACAGACGACGACCGAGTAGACCTCCATGACACAACTCCAGCGCCCAAGCTGAAACAGTAACCCTGAGTGGACCTCTATGTCTCCAGGTTGTCGGCGTAGGAAGAGTCGCAGTGACCAGTTAGAACAATTGGCTATGTCCCTCCAAGAACAAGCCCCATGCCTGATGTAGTCGCTAGGTATTTCGCCACCCTCACAGCAGATGTCCAGTGAACAGGATGGTGTCTCCCAGTCGCAACAAACAAAGAGAGGACGCTGAGGGGAAAGGCGAGGTCCAGACGAGTACGAGTCATCAGGTACATGAGGCAGCCCACAAGCTCTGCGTAGGGACCACTGGACTCAAAGGGCTCGTCGGGAAAAAGGCCGGTGAGTCTGTGGTCAACAGCAAGAAGAGTGGGCAGTGTGGTGGAGTGCTGAAGCCCAAACCGCTGAAAGACCTGCTGCACCATGTGTGACTGAGTGAGTGTGATGGTGCGAGCGGCTCTGTCCCTGGTGATCTGCAAGCCAAGGTAGCGGCGCAGCTCACCAAGGTCAGTGCACGTGTGTCTCTTTTGCAGTTCGGACTTCACCTCAGCCAAAGCAGCCCTGTCTGCTATAGCGAAGACCAAGTTGTCGACGTAGACGAGAACGAAGAAAGGTGTGGGCCTGGAATGAACGAACAGCGACGGGTCGGTGGATGAAGGACAAACCCCGAGGGCAGCAAGAGTGGTGTGCAGCGTGTCGTGCCACTCACGGGGCGCCTGGCGGAGACCGTAGACTGATTGCCTCAAGCTCCACTGGGTCCCAGGCGGGAAAGTGCCAGTGAAGCCAGGAGGACGACACAACCAGATTTCCTCGTGCAGGCTGCCCTGGAGAAAGGCGGTGGAGAAGTTGAGGGAGTGCAGCTCGTAGTCTCGCTGTGCTGCAACGTAAAGTAACACTCGAAGAGTCGTCATCTTCGGGGTCGGGGCGAAGGTCTGGAAGAAGTCAACTTCCTCACGCTGACTGAAACCTCTAGCCACGTAGCGTGCCTTGAAGACAGGCGGCGATCCAGGCGGTCACTTCACCTTGAAGATCCACATGACGTCGACTACGTTCGCCCCAGGTGGGGGAATTGCGTCGACGTAGGTGCCTATGGATCTCCAAGACGCCATCTGAGTCCATGGCTGCTATCCACTGAGAGTCACACTGCCCTGACACTGCCTCACGGTATGTGCGAGGAGTCGGTATGTCAAGGGCGTCAGGGTCTCCCTCAGAAGCTAACAGCATGGCACAGAGATAGGGAGAAGCGGCTGCCAAGAACTCAAGCTCAAACTGCCTGTCCTCTAGCCAAGGGCACACTCACCCCCGACGGACAGAGGACGGGCAGGCACCACTCGGGTGGCGTAGTCAAGGCAGCGGGTGGAGGCAAAGTCAGCGATAGCGGCAGTAAGAGCCGAGATAGACGACGGAGAGGCACGAGGGTCCGTGACTAGAGAGGCGAGAACACGAGTGACAACAGGACGGGTGGCACGGTAGTAGTCAGTGATAGGGGAAGAGGTGGAGGCTATAAGAGACGACTCAGGAGGGACGTTAGAACATTTTGAGGCGGAGAACGACAAGGACTCGAACGAAGTAAGACAATGCGGAGGTCGTCAAGAGGAGACGAGGGACGTGCACGAGCGGGACAGCGAACTGTCCAGTCGTGCGGGACAACAAGAGGAGACGACTGTGACCGAGGAGGAGAGTAAACAGCCGGAGAGGAGTCCGGGGGGGGAAACGTAGGACCGTAAGCAGGAGGAGACAGTGAGCGGTCTGGAGGAGGGGAAGGAAGACCAAGGGCGCGAAAGCCACTCACAGGTGGGGACAACGACTACAAGGGCGGCGACTGCTGCGGCAGCAGCTGCTGCTGCAGCTCCTGCTTCAGACGCTGCAACTCCTGCTGCCACTGCTCCAGCTATAGCCTCTCCTGCGCCAACCTCTCCTGCTCCTCACGCTCAAGTCGAAGAAGAGCCTAGTGACGCGTTGGGTAGCGGTGAGGAGGCGGAGCAGCTGCCGCAGTAGCACTGTCTCCAGCTCTAGTCTCCTCGGAAGTAGCACCTCTAGCTCCAACACCCCCAGAACTAGCACCTCCAGTGCTTGCTCCAGCACCCTCAAAACGAGCAACCCCAGTGCCAGCACCCTCAACTCCAGCACCCTCAGAGCTAGCACCTCCATGCCAGCTCCTCCAACTCCAACACCCCCGGAACGGGCACCTCTAGTGCCAGTACCCTCAGCTCCAGCACCCTCAGCTCCAGCACCCTCGGAACTAGCACCCTCAGTACTAGCACCCCCAGCGCCCGCACCTCCAACACCAAGACCCCCAGAGTCAACTGCAACCTGTCGCGGTAGTTCCGAAGGCCGCTGTGGTGACCGTGAGGACGACTTTGGGGAAGGAGACAGTACCTGGCGTGCTACAGAGGGGAGAGGGGTAGCGTGAGACACACCAGACGGGGCAGGACCAAGGGGGACCGGGTGTACCGGAGGAACAAGGTCAGGAGGAGGAGTGGGGGCAAGGAAAAAGGGAGGGGGTGGAACCGGGAGACCTCAACAGGGGTACCAAGTGTAGTAAGACACGGACTCGTCACAAGTGACGTCGCGAGAGTCAAGGAACCGGTGGAGGGGTGGGTGGTAAAAGGTGTAGTCAGAGGAGTCCACCAGGAAACCAAGGAAGACACGGGGGATGGCGCGAGCCGAGAGCTTGTCCGCAGAGGTGTCGCGGACAAGCGCAAGGCAGCCTCAGACACAAAACTCCGACGCAACACCAGGGGACCCGGTCCAAAGACTTGTCGGTGAAGCCCCTGGCCGAGAGACACGAGGCCAGAGGTTCAGCTGGTGGGCGGTGTAGCGAACCGCGTAGGGCCACAGAAAATGGGGCGTACGGGCATGGATCATGGAGGTACGGGCGATCTCCATGACCAAGCCTATGCGGCGCTCAGCAACCCCATTCTGTTGTGGGGACTCTGGAAGCGTCCAGGACTGAGTGATGCCCTGTTCGCTACAGAATCCGCGAAGAATGCCGGAGCAAAAATCACCCCCACTGTCGGAGTGAAGACAACTGACACGACGGCCACGAGTGCTCTCAGTTGCCAACAACCACCAGATCAACGTAGAATTCACGTCTGATTTCTTCGCCAGCGGGGACACGATGGTGTAACGGGAGTAGTCGTCAACGACCACCAAAAAGAAGCTCTCCCTCTCAGGCCCAGGGTGAGATGCGGGGCCCCATACGTTCAAGTGGAGAGTCTTGAAGGACTCGGTGGCCGGACGAAGGGATGAGGAGTGAGGAGTGGCACGCAGCCGACCCTCGACGCAAGGAGTGCACGGCGACGCAGGCGAAGGGGGGAGCGACGAAAAGACGTGCAAGACCTGAGACAAGACGATAGCTAGCCGTGCTGCGGAGGCGTGGGAGGGACGGGTGACCAAGACGGTGGTTCCACAAGAGTGTCGGGTGGGAGAGTCACCGACAGGAGCACGACGCAGCAACCTGACCAGACGAAATAACCTGACTAGACGAAACGACCTGACCAGTCGCAGCGATCTGACTAGACGCAGCGACCTGACTAGACACAGCGACCTGACCAGACGCAGCTACCTGACTAGACGCTGCCACCTGGGGGGCCGCAGTGCGCAGAAAGAACAGACCCAAGTGGGGCAAGAATTGCCCCGATGGAAATCGTACAGTGCGCAATCCGCTTGTCCGCAGGAAAGGTGACGGTGATCCCTCGATCCTGAAGATATCCGACACCCACCAAGTTCCGCGAGAACGAGGGGACGTGTAGACCAGTGAGGACACTAAAGGGGACAGCGGGGCACGGGAGGGTGGTTGAACTGCGAGCGACTACTGGTCCAGAAGTAGGATCAGCCAGGGCAACTGTGACTGGAGCAGAAAAAGCGGTGTAACTGTGTTGTGGTCGCAAAAGAAGCACTGAGACGCGCTAGAGTCCAGTGTGAATGAGAGAAACGCGTCGACCGCGGGTACACCTGGGCTACTAACTACACAAGCACCTACACTAGAAGGTGGCTGAAGTCCTAAGCTAGGCATATGCAAATCAATAGGTCCGACATGACTAAAGTTACCAGCATACATGACATTATAACCTTCATGCATATACATACAATAAATAACATAACCACGGCGAGTCAGAGTAGGCCAGTGCGGAAGAGGCGAGTCAGGCCCAAAGCTCTCACGGTAGAGGTCGTCGAGGCGGCGGTAGCAGCGGAACGAGGAGTGGTCAGGACGCAAGCAGGTAGAGCCAGCACCAGCGCCAGTCAGGAGCCGGTACTGGCAGTGGCCGACGTCGCGACCACCGCGGCCAGGCGCCCAGCTGGCTGTACTGTAGCTGGGACAATCAGGTCCCCACCGTTGGAAGTGCTGCTGATGTTGCCGCTGCGGCTGGGCCTGCTGCTGCAGAACCCTAACGGATTCCATGGCACAAGCCAGAGGAGCGTGAGAGCGGCGTGAGCTAGAAACAGTCGGACACGAAAACGTGGCGTGAGGACTAGTCTAGAAACCGGTGAAGAGGGTGGCGAACGGAATGCGGAGCCTAACATAAGGAACGACTAGGTTAGAAGCGTAAGACTCGCCGGGAGAGGTGACTGCGGTTGCCAGCCGCCGTGAGAAATGCCTATGGTAAGAGGCGTGTTGGAGAGACAGTAGGTACGTATCGAAATGCAGCTGTCGGGTGCGGTCGAGAGCGGTCGAGTGCGGTTGAGTGCGGTTGTGTGCGGTTTTGTCCGGTTGAGTGCGGTTGAGTGCAGTCCCGCGCACAACGGAGAGCGGTCAGTAGCGGTTAGGAAGTGTCTAGTGACGTGGGGAACGGGTGGGCTGTCACAGAGCACGGGCAGCAGTGTGTGGCGAAGGCACGAGCAGTTGCTGCTGCTGATCGCGGCTCCTAGTGCGTAGGGAGCTGCGGGTGCGCGTACAGTTGCTGCCGCGCGCGTCTGCTAGCGTGCGGCGGCGTACGTGGGGCTACGCGCAGGCAGCAGGGCAGGGCGCAGCACGTGACGGGGCGGGACGCGGGTAGGGGATGCAGTGGCGTGCTGTGGCGGCTGCAGGGCTAGCGGCGGCGGCTGCTGCGCTCGCGGCGACGGGTGCTGCTGTGCTCGCGGCGGCAGGTGTTGCGCGCGTGGCGGCGGCTGCTGCTCGTGCGCGTGCGTTGGTGCGCACGGTCGCAGCTGCTGTTGCTGTGCGCACTGCCTGCTCGCGGCTGTACGTGTTGCTGGCTGCGCACGCGGCTATGCGTGCTGCAGTCGCATGCGCGCGGCAGGACAGGGCGCGGGACGGGGCGAAAAAGGGGCGGGGCAGCGCGCGGCGGCCTATGCGCGCGTGCGTGCGGGCATTAGCTGCTTCGCACGCGTTTGCCTAGGGCGGGGCCCGTTAAGAGGCGTGACGGGGCATTACGGGGCGCGCTACAGACGAGGCGCGGTACGAACAGGGCAAGGCGCGTTAGGAACAGGGCGAGGCACTTTACGGGGCGGGACGGGCACGTTTTCTTAGGTTAGGAACGAACCTACTGCTGATACCATCTTAGAAACTAACTTAGTAGAGATGGAGATAATGGTTTCAGACTAGGTCAAGGAGGGGGATACAAGCTAAGTGCCGAGAAACTTTTGTACCCCCTAACATGCAACTCATTGCAGCATATCTATTTCTACAAACATAGTTTGACAATGTATGGCACCCGCTACTATCGAAGTAGCACCTGTACCACTATTGCGCTGGCCCATATAGGGCACGCAGGTCAACAGTTGCGGGTCAACTGTCGCGACTGTTGACTAACCTGGACCGAACAGTTGCAATGGATTTCAACGGTCGCAACTGTCTCTACAGTTACAAACAGCATCACGGTAACTGAAGGATCGCAATAGTCACTAGCACTGTAGCGACGTCTGTATTACAGTTGCATAAGGGAATGTACCCTTCAGAGTACATGGCTAGCTGGGATCTATATGATGTGTGTAATGTTTTATTTTGAATCAATCTTGTCATTTACATTCACTATGATCAAGGTTCCCACTAATACAAAAGACTTCCGCTACCAACTCTAGCAGACCTATACTGTCCAAGATCCTTTTTTATTCTAACAATGAATTCATGGAGAAGTTATTCAAACTGGAAATGGAAGACCAATGTCTATTTCTGGAGTTGTTCCCCATGCTGTTGGAATAGCCGAAAGGTTATAGTAACATTCCCGAAGGATCTCCACTCACGCGTCACTTCATAACGAAGCAACGCGTCTCTACCAGTACCGCAATAGCTCATATAGAGCATGCGAAAGATCGAGAGTCACCCGAAGGTCAACAGTCGAAGACAGTCAACGGTTGTGACTCTTGACCGTCCAGTAACCGCACTTGGTAGTTACGCGATGCAACATGGTAACTGTCAAGAAGAGCTTTAGTCATGGTTACTGTAGCAATGTAATTCAGTTAATAGGGGAATGTACCCCTCAGAGTACATGGCCAGCTAGGATTGCTATTTATACCCTTGTACTCCTATCTTATAATTATCTTGTTCTCTTTCAACTTTATTAACAAGGTCATTATAGAGACTTCATTGTCTTCTCTCAAACTTGATAGACTTATCCTGTCCACTACGATCCTTCAGTTATAACAGCATGGTATGAGAGCAAGAGTGGATTATAAGGCCTGTCAAGTTCTTGTTCTTCCTAGAACAAACTCGTTTTAAAATACTCATTACAAACTACACAACTCTGCATCACAATGGCTCCCGAAGGAAAAGCCACTGCAGACTCTCCGGGCCCACCACCAGCAATGCCTACTGCGCCATCAGCGATAACCTCCGTCAGCGCCGCTCTCGTTGATCAGCTTGTCGCCCGCATCAACGCTCTTGAGATCCATCAAGCCATGAGCATCGATGGCTCAAGTTACGCAAGAGGAGTTGCTGGACTCCTTCTCCCTGGAGAAGACCGCCGCATCAACTCCGAGAGGTCTTTCACCTTTGACAAACGTCAAGCTTCAGCTCCTGCACAAGAGAGTCAACAACGAGTGCATTCAGAAACAATCGCGGCCCTGCAAACAAAGTTCGTGTTGACCTCGAAGCTGAAGACCTCAATTCCTTTCGACGGCAAGGATTTCTACACGTGGAGCTTCGAATTCGAACTCCTCGCAACAACCGCTCAGATCTGGATGTACTACGACGGAAGCTTACCTTTCCCATCGGAAGGAACCATCCAGGAGAAGCATCAATACTACCACGAATCTCTTCTCGCGTACACCACTCTTCTCCGAAACCTCTCCCCTTCCGAGCAGCTTGGCATTCGCTCCTACAAGTCAGAGTGGGCACCCGCGTATACATCTTGGGAGCACCTGAAAAATTCATACATGGCAACAGCTCCCGTTACAATGAGTCGCCTACTCAGCCAACTGACATCGGTTAAAATGCAACAAGGGGAGAAAGCGGGACCATATATCAACCGGTGCCGCAATCTGCGCGATCACATTAAGAAGTGCGGCGGAACTGTCCCCGACGACATGTTCGTCTCGATGGTTCTCTCCGGCCTTGGACCCGATTGGCGCCAATGCCAGTCGTTGCTCCGCGCTCGAGCAACTATTTCCGAGTCTGCCCTGTGCGCCACGCTTCTCTCCGAGCAGAAGGAGATTGATCGGTACAATGAGAAGAACAGCAAGCGGGAAAAGTTAGTGTTCTTCACTGGAGCGACTGAAGGGGAGCAGCATGGAAAGAAGGGGACATTCTGCAAATACTGCAAGAAGCCCGGGCACACTATTGATCGCTGCTACAAGCGAAAAGCCGCTGACGAAAGGTGTAACAACTCCTCCAATCAGTAGCCTTCGGCACCCTCGGCTTCCCCTACTGTGACAACAACTATGTCACCGCCTTCCGTCGCAAGCACCTCGCAAACTCATGCGCGCATCACGTCCAAGGACAAAGGCAAGGGATCAATCACGAGTTGCATGGCGCGACGTCGCAGAGGCATCCGATACTAGGACGACATCGAATACCCACTAATCGCGCCCCTCAATCCCATCAGGCCAAGTCCAAACAATGACCCCACTCTCAGCAGCTGGACGAATCAACCAACCGACATCCCACCTGACTTCGAACTACCTCCAAGCACTCCAGAGTCTCCTCCTAGTTTTCCCGTGAGAAGATACATCGATCTCTCGCCGTACACTGGAGACTTCGACCGCATCATCACTCCGAAGATCGCGGGAATTGCGCGTCGGAACCGGGAAAACTACAATACCTGGTATCTCGACAGCTGCTGTGGTCAACACATGGTGGGATCACCGACGTTCATTAGCGAATCTAAGCGCATGCGGTGACCGTGCGAAATCACAGTCGCCAACAACAACCGTCTCAAGGCTTACGAAATCGGGGAGATTTACCTTGAGGCTGAAGACACCCACTTCACCATTCACATCGGAGACGTGCTGGTTGTTCCTGATCTGCAACACAATCTTCTTTCTTCGGCGCAACTCATGAGGTGCGGAGTCGACATTCGGAGCAACTGCGAAGACAATACCTTCGAACTATTTTACAAAAACACTTACATCGGGAAGGCCGTCGACGACGAGGGAGTCTTCGTATTAAACTCCACGGCAGAAGGCACGACAGGCGACTCCGAACGGAATCTACTCCTGAAAACGACTCCCACCGAAGCACCGATTTGGTCACACCCCGATGAGATGGACCTCGAGCGTCCTGCCTCGGATGGACTTCTCCGCCTGCGCGCCGTCCCAACCGCCTCAACCTCCAATCCAGGCGACACCAGACCTGCAACAATGGAGGAAGACGAAAACAACGGAGGTCTAGCAACTGCAGAAGCTGACACCGGAGGATGGGGAACAACTCCAGCACCAGGAACTGGCTGGGGAACTCCTACTCCTACGATCGGGCCGTGGGGAGTCATTGAACCACCCCAAACAACACCAGGAGGCGGCTGGGATGCCTTTCGAGCGCCAGAGGAGGCAGCAGAAGGCACCGCTGAATGAGACCTAGGTGGCGCCGAAACAACAGAATAAGAAGGATGGGGATCAGTGCCGATGGGCGCTACTGGCGAAGGCGGCTGGGGAACTTCCACCTCCCGCAACGAATGGGGTTACTCAGAAGCTCCGGGCCTTCCCCCCGAACCTACCGCCGAAATCGACCCATACTGGGCAACACGCGGCACCAGCTGGGGCGGACCTCCTCTTCCGGATCAGTATGCTCCTGACACACCAGAGAACGTGCAAGAGGAGTCAGAAGAAGAAGCAACTTACGAGTTCTTCGAAGGAGCACTGGACCTACCGGAACCTACTGAGGAAGCGCCGCTGCCAGAACTAGGGCCCCAACAAATTGAGGCCATTGGCGACGAGTACAGTTACTTTCGCATCCCAATGAAAGGACTCCCCGTCGCCGACTGGCCTAAAGCGCCACCATCCTCGTATCTGCCCGTCACCGGCGAGAAAGTTCATGCCGCTGATACAGATGACATCATCGGATTTCCCGACGCCCTCCTAGAACGATACTCCGTTCGAGCCTTCGCAACAGACGCCGACGCCGCCACCGACAAAGGACCTGAAAAGAAGCAGAACGACGAAGCGAAAAGGCACAAATATTATCAGAAGACTGTCGGATATCGTGCGGAACCAGAAACATGGCACCAGCGACTCGGACACCCCTCACACACCACGCTCAAGAATTCCCTCAAGGCCGGTGTCTTTGACGACGACGCGCTGCTCCTTCCTCGAGGAGGCTCCCTCACAGCAGAATCAGCTGACCCGCCATGTACCGTGTGCCCGACTGCGTCACTCGCCCACAAACCCTTTCCCGACTTACCTCCCGGCTACGAACGCTACAAGCCGCTCGATAAAGTCTACAGCGACTTCATGGTTCTCAGTCAAGAAGGGCTCGACGGCGAGTACTACACGCTTACCTTCATCGACGCATGCACACGCCACGTCTGGGCCATCAACACCGATTGCCGCTCCTTAGCCTTTGAGTGCTTCGTAGCGTGGATGAAGCGGGCTGAACGTCAATCTGGACTGAAGCTGGAAACCTACCAGACAGACGGGGGTTTGGAGTTCTTCTCAACTGAGTTCAAGGAACTCTTCAAGCAGAAGGGGATTGAGCACCTGGTGTCCCTGTCCTACGCTCACGAGCAGCAAGGAGTAGCAGAACGGACAAACAGGAGCCTCGCCACAAGGATGAGGGCCCTGATGAAACAGTCGGCCGTCCCAACCAAGTACTAGCCATTCGCGATGAACCACGCTGTCCGGCTGCACAACTTGTTGTCCTCCCGAAGCCTCGAGAACAACAACTCTCCCTACAGGGCTTGGACGGGCAGAAAAGCGGACACACGTCTGCTTCGAGTGTTCGGCTGCATGGTACAGTACAGGCCACATACAGCAAGAACCGGAAACTTTGCTGAACGGGCACGCTGGGGCATCCACCTCGGGATCGAAAAAGAATACAAGGCGTGGATCATGCTGGACTACGCGACACACGAAGTCACAAAATCACGTGACTGCATCTTCTACGAGAAGCTGACTCTGCCACTGTTCAA